CGAAAGATGGTGATGAGAAGAGTCTCAGCACACAGTCGAGACTGTCACTGTCAGTGTGGTGCATGACACGTTTGAATCACTTGGACACGAACCAGTTGATCACAATTAGCAACTTTAGCAGTTCACGAGTATTTTCAGTCAAGGTCCTTCTGTCATGATGTGGGAGTGGCTGGTGAGAAGACACAAGTTTGAGGACAAGATATGGGTCTTTTCACACAGAGCAACCTCCCACTTCACAGAGCATCTTGCTTTTGAATCGAACAGTCATCGTCCTATTGTGTCAAGGCGTGCTGCTCACATGTTGCTCGCATGCAACGTGTCGAAGATGTGTCTATTCGGCCCGTGGCATCGGTGGAAGTCCTTGTGACTGCCCCCGTACGCTTCCAGGCGTGGCGGGCATCACACAAACGTGAATTCCCCCCAGCCTTCTTGGGTTCCCATGCGGATGGGGTAGACCAACAGGAGCTGTGTAGGCAGAGACCATCTCACCTCAAATCAAGATGATCCAAACTTCTTTGTCTAGGATCTAGCCCCGAAAAGTACGTGTCCAGACTTCAACCAAACAGCCGCTATCAGTTGGGCCAAAGCCTTTCTCTTCCAACATCCTTGCACGTATGTGTTTAACAGAAGATTCCCACCTCCATCACCTACGCATCCCACCTCCCACCCTCAAGGCATCGTTTGCTACTTCACTGTTGGTCTCACTAGCAACTGCTGTCAATCAAATGTCTTCAGCTCACAGGATCTGCGCAGCTAGGACCTAGAGTCATAGGGGCCATAGGCCATAGGGTGGAATGACCAATGCATGTAGGGTGCAATTAATCTCTTCCACCTATACATTAAACACGGCGGCACCCCCCCACCCTATGTTTAAAAAGTCAATCCACGTTCTTTAATACGGGGGTCCCCGAAATGAGGGGTGTCAAAAATAGGGTCAGTGAGAGGAGCATTTATTGAATAGAAACTTAATGACTAACCAGGGCTGCCAGCCTGGGGTTTATTAAGGAAGTTTCGGTCAGTAGGAGTCAAAGGGCGTGGGAGGGTGCGGGAGGGTGCGGGTGGATGTAGGTGACTGTGTGGGAACCCAATCAAAAAGAAAAAAATGCCAAATCAGCCTTGTTGGTAGTTTAGTAGCGGTTTAAGAAGGCAGTAATATAAAACAATGAGCTTTTGTTAATTGGGTAGTGTCAGTAGTGTTGATCAATAGGTACTCGGGATTAGAAATGGGTGTTGCCACGGTGCTTTCACCAGTGATATATGGGAATGCCTCCGTCTCGCATGAAACCCCTGCACCTCGTTGAACCAGACAGAAAACACCCCGTCTCTCATTCCGGAGCCTTAGGTCAGCACTTTACTTATATAGCTACCTCCCAAAACAGTCACAGACTCGCAATGTCCCATATAAGTGTGATATAAGAGAGGTAGTTATAGTTTTATATAGGTATACCAATGTCCCATATATAAGTGCACTTTGAATGCTTTCCCGCGGGAAGGGCACACCCTCAGAGGCCGCAAGTCGTTACGGCGTTGGTCTCGCCGTCCTAGGCCGTCCTCGCCGTCGCCAAGGGCCCAACTCTTCAGACCCTCCCCAATCTCATTGAGCCCGGCAATTGTGAAGTAGTACACCTCAGCTGGCTGCAATCAGTCAAAAAACGATGACAGAAGACGGAGAAGACGGAGACCATCAGGAATGAAAGCCTAAAATCTGACCAGTCTAGACTAAACATTCACCACCCTGAAGCTGAAACGCTGGGGGACCAAACCGTGTATGCCTCAAGATCCAAAATCCACCTCGGTCTGCGAGACGTCAGGTCCATACAGAAGCATCGGCCCATCTGCGATCGTGATGCTGAAGATGTGCTGTCCATACTCCATGCCAAGTGGTCTCTTCCGCAACTTACAACTGAGCAGTCTCACCATGTTGTGTTCGGAGACTGGGTGTCATTCCAAACCTGAGTTGGAGGCATTGAGTCATGCTTGGGAGCAGGAGCGCAAAAAGGTGTGCTTGTTCTTAAATGGCTAGCTTAAGAGCGGTTGCTTGGCAAGGAAGAATACAAGGTTCCAGGAATTTCATAGCCAGGTTGTCGACTTTGTAATCCTTTTGTAGCATACTTAGCATTCTAATCTACTTGACCTTTTCCTTTGGGGTTTTGATGCCCGTAATGCCGTTCAAGTTCCATAGTTGTGTCTATCGCATGCATGCAATGATCTTCCCAAATCCATCTGCTCTGTCTGAGCTTCATGCGACGTACCAGTTCATTGAGTCCATGCTGCCATAGACCTCCAAGTAGCTTTCAATGAGTTTTCCACGCTTTTCCACTACATGGTTTGGTTTGTTTTCTGTTCGTCAACCTGGCAGTGAATAAATCACAATGTTTGGGGCCAAGAAGATGTTCAGGGATGCATCAACAAAGCTCACTTTTGGCTGAGGGGAAGCGAAAACGCCACTTCCATGAGCGTTTCAGTTGGAACGGTCCAGAAGTCCACTGAGTCTACTGTCCTGTCTCGGGCTTTGCGGTGAGGCGACTCCTCCGGGCCTTGTATCCAGAAAGGTTAGCTCCGCTGTCGCCCTGGCAGCTCTGAGAGGTTCCCGCGTTCACCGACACAGCGGAGAGATGACCATGAAATCCACATGATGGAAAAGAAATACATCACGCCAGCATAGACCCCAGATTCCCAAATAGCTAGGCAGAATCCAAAAAGTCGACATGCGGTTGGCTGAAACTAGAATGTACACACAGCCAGCACAGCCAGCTCACAGCACCGCACCAGCACCGACACCCTTTCTCCAAAGCGCCCACGGCCAGCCCTGTTGCGACAGCACGCAAAGCCACCTCACAACGCCCACAGCACTACCGGCACCGACACCCGGTCTCGACAGAGCACGCAGCCACCTCACTCAGCACCACCACTGACACCCTTTCTCGAAAGTAGCTCATTCTTCGATTCTTCCCCAATAGTTCTCGCTATCTGGGGAACTAAACTATGCCTAGAAAAGGTATTTTTGTGGGCAGCCCCGGCACGAGCATGCAGGCTCCAAAGCACACATTACCGTAGACATCTGGCAGCAGCACCCTGCAGCGGCACCAGCACCCAGGAGCACACACACGGCCACACATCTGGCAGCGCACACAGGCACCTCTTCCTATACTTGAAGTCAGAACCCCAATAGCTCTCGCTGTCTGGGGAAAGATCCACGAAATGAATTTGCACATAGAAGAAGGACCGCCAGAAGCACAGTCCTTTTTTTGTTGTCCAAAGCGGCATCTTCACCAACTCCCGCTACAAACAATGGAATCTATGAGAGCGAGTCGTTGAGACTCCTCTGAAATATAAAGGTTGAGGCAAAATCGAAAAGAGAAACAAAACGAACCGTGACATGGACACACCTGGACCCTACTACTTGTCAACTCATCAACTCATCCAGTTCCCAGTTCCCTACTCATCCAGTCAGATCTCCCTCGAATCATCGCATCGCATCGCATCGCCTCCGGCTCGGCCCAAGAGAGTTTCACTTTATGGAGCTGCTCCTGGAGCTCCGCTGAGCTAAGCCGTTCTGACGATCAAGGCGCAAAAATCGTCAGCCGTTCTCACTGAACCTGATGGGAAGTAAACGGAGCTGTATCAAAGTGAAGTCATATAATTAGCTATCAAGAGAATTCGGACCCTCATGGATGGATGATGGCTCCCTAAATTTGGCTGCTCCAAAGGCTCTGCCAAAAGGTGCTGCTGTTCCACAAACCTGTGTACGACCTGGAAACATACTTTCCATCCAGGAGCAACATTTGAATACTGATACCAATAGCATGCTCCTTGATCCGATTTTTAGGTCTGGCTTCACCAAGCCGCCAAACTCCTTCTCACTCGTTGGATTCCAAACCAAAAGCGTAGCTCGAGAGCGGTCAGGTCTCACTCCTCCTCCACGATGGGCTGCCCGGGCTGGTGCGGTGGCACCGCCAGGGTCCGCGCCTGTGGCCAGCGAGACCAGTGACCCGGACGGAGACTTTAGGGATTATGTGAGGATACCGAATGTCCATGCCTGCCATGCATTTCCACAAGGAACGTGATGTCTGTTCTCTTTGTGGCCATGGACTGCCAAAGAATTTGTGCACTACAAAAATCGGTCGGCTTTGGAGAGGTGAACAACATCTGTGGTCTTTTTTCGGAATCCTTTCTTTGAAGTCCAAGCATATCTCCCTGCTATCTATGGACTTCAAAGAAATGCTTGGACTTCTACCTGAACTATATGGTTGGATGATCTCAAAGAAATGGCCTTCTTCTCCATTTTTATCCATTTCCTCGTCTGAATTTCTCTGCCTGGATCCATGAAGCCATCGAGAGGCCCAAACCGTTCAAGGCACTCACACGGCACCTCTCGTGGACGAGACCCCTTTTCGGCGCCGGATCGTGGAGTGTGGGCGGAAGGATGGTGAACTCTCAAGAAAATCTGTAGAAATTGAGCAGAATGGCTTGAAATGGGGAAGATCCTGGATCACGAACATCAGGAGTCTCTGGCTTGGGCGTCCTACATACGGCCAGAAAAGAAGAAAAGAAGTGCAGCTCGCAATAGTTTTCAGCCAGGTTTTCCACTTGGAGTGCAAGCCCATCACTTGGATGACTTTTCTCTCTAAAAGCGGGAGAGTCATCTGCAGCATCACCATCAGACCAAGAGAAGATTCCTGGGGAGCCGCACTGGTAGAGCGTATAGCCCTGAAGGTCCTGCAGAAAGTCAGGAGCAAGCGGAGAGCAAGCGGGAGCCTGCCTTTTTAGGGTGGCGCAGTCGGTGCGAAATTGGTGGCGGACATCATTAGCATCATGATGCACCATGGCACGAAATTGGAAGGAGGCAATCTTTGGATTGCGCAATTCCTAGGAAGCTGCAGTGCCAAGCGCGATGTTCGGTTTATGTTCTACCACTGACAACGGCCAGAATGACATGTTGCTGGAACGTGGCTCGAGCAAGTTGGACACCCCCCACTGACTGGTTCGCAAGTGAAAGCCCACCGACCTTGAGGAGTGCGAAAGTCTGCGAGCTGCTCTGATTGGCAATGGCGACTCCTGCTCTACCAGCATGGAAGAATCAAATGGCAAAAATTGCGGCAAGGGGAATTTAGCTTCCTGACAACATCAAGGTTTCTTTCCATAAGCAAGCAACCGCTGAAACTCCAGCATGCAAACAGTAATATAAGATTCACGCGGAAGTGCAGAAGACTCCAAAATGCTCAAATGCTCAACACCACATCGTGTTCATTGTACAGTCGGTGAGTAACCTCAGAATCGTATATTGCATTCGGAATTATTCTTAAGGAAACGACAAGTATACAGCTCCACGGGTGGTATCACATTGAGAGGAACTTTTGGCGAAAGCTTTACGCAAAGATGAGGAATCTGAACCTCCCTTGACTCCACCCTGCCTGGTTGACTGGCTTGACACCAACTGGGCAGAAATGGGAGTCAAGGGTTGCGTCAAGGGTTGCGTCAAGGGTTGCGTCACACGACGTCGATACCCGTACCATCGCACTGTCAAAATGATAAAATGCGGAGGAAGGCATTGGCCATCTTGCTGTTGATGGGTTTGGGCTGTTGCAGGTGGTGCATGACTTCTTCCACAATAGTAGTGCATGTGAAACTCTTAAACAATGTCAGCTGATCCTGATTGTGAACATGACTATGTGAGAATCAATCAGACATGATAAAACATCCACCAAGATGTTCGCTCGCCACTCAGGACGCGGCATGTAGTAGCCTGCTAAGCAGGTTTGAAAGACACATGTGGAATCGCGAAGAAGATTCAATTCAGCCCAAGACAGAAGCAACCGTTGATGAACTGATCAACGTCCATCGCGGCAATACAACTGTTTCAAGTTGTCGAATCAAGAGAGAATCGTCTGGTATGTGTGGAAATTCCAAAGAAGAGGTTCACAGTTCCAAGATCTTGAAACATGCACTGCAAGAGGATGTGATTAGAAAACAAGAACATTAGAATCACAACATTGAATCTTTGATGTTGCACTTTGGTTCTTTATTGGTCCATCGGTGTCTGGTCATACCCAGTGCCCGGGCGTCGTGAATGTCCAACACCCGCCTGACACGGTGTCCCCACCGTCAAAACTCGGAGGGGACCAGTCGAGACGGAGGAGATACCTCAGCAGCAAAATCCTTCCTGCTGTGAGCAATGTAGTACAGTAATTTTGTAGGCAGGGCCAATAGCTCAAGCAAACAGAAAGAACCCACTTGGGGTGGCCAAGTTTTTTTGGTGTGTATGTACGTTGCCACAAATCACGGCTTCTATCTTGTCGGAAAACTTCCTCCCAAGCTACAATCCACTCGTCGAGCTGGAAGCAAAATATAGAATCCGACCCGTAATTGCCTCAAGTCAAGCCTCTGCGCTTCTGGCAAAACTGCTCTCGTTCAGCCGCGCACTGTTCCGCTCGAGATACATTCAGTTGCTCGACAGGTCCAGGTGGTACCTGGCAAAAGCCCCTCAGGCAACACCAGGTGTGCCACAAGGAGGCCTTCGAAGCCTTGCTTTCTGAGCTTCAATGGAAATGGTCGATTGCAACACCTAATTAAAAGCGTTGCTTTTGGGTGCTCCATCATGTTCCAGTCCTTCAGAGAGATCGACCATCTACACATAGTTACATATAGTCAAATGTATAATTATACACTCTCTGTGTGTGTGTATCGGATTCCAAATTGTTGCCGCTGTGTTGCCCGACGCAGCCCACAAATTATCAGAAAGAATCCTCATTCCAGATCCCATGGTAGTGGTTCAGTTATAGTATATATATATACCATTGCACATGTGCACCTTCATGGTCAAAATGGTGTCCAAAATCTGGCAGGGCGGTCACTTTCGGCCCGGTTTGGGGGGGAGAAAATGGACCCAGTTTTGGGGCCAAAAGTTCCTTTGTTTTTTTGCCCGCTCCCCCCCTCCCTACCGCCTACTGTACTTAATCAAGTAAGGGAGAGGTAGCTAGTGAGTACCTACAAGTGGACGCTACTACACATGGATGCAGGATAGCTCACGCTTCTTCAAGGAAGCTTTCCCCCACCCTGAGGGGGAGCTTCCTTGAAGAAGTGCTCGCACTATTCATTTGGTTTCTAGAATTTTAGAGAAACTTAAAGTGTTGGAAAAGAAGGAATGGAATTAAGTTGCACATCATCACTACAGTGCTGTCCCGTCTCTCACCCCAAACTTAGGATACTATTCTTTATGTTATCTATCTACAAAAATGACACAAACCTTTCTGGTGCTGGAGAAGAAAGAACTAGTAGGCATTACTGACCAGCACGTGCTGAGCTCGATCGATGGAATCGGCGCATCCCGCAGCCTGCAACGTCCGAATCTCCGTTGTGTTGGCAGCACCGTAGCCCGCAGAATTCAAGGCTTGCACCTGGTTCTTGGTGGTGTGGTGACAACTGGAGACTGAAGAAAGGCATTTAGGATGTACTTGGTGCAAAACTGCACACTGACAGCATATCTCTGGTTGTCACACATCCTTTCAAGCCAAAATCCATGGAGAATGAAAAGGACGTGAAACCAAACGGGGAATGTGTCAGTTGGAATCTGACAACACTGCAATGTAGAAGAACTTCCACTGCTATGCTTGATTTTATGAAAACAAAGAACATCTCACAAAGAAGGAGCTTTCGACAAACCCACTGTTGAGCTTGGCACTTCAAAGGTGTAGACGCTGTAGCCTTCCAAGCCATCCGCTGTCACCTGCACGTGTTGTAGGGTCTCAGGTAAGCAAATCACGAAGAGCCAAGGGTGAGTCAAAGCAATTGAAGTTGATAGCTTGGGAACACTGCCTTTTCCTCTGTTATCCGTGTACAGCAGCCGTCGAAGCCGAGCAAGTGACAGAGGTGTTGCCAACACAGTAGACCTCCACAAATAAACTTTTCTGCTTCGAGGGGTTGTCTCCAAGTAGGAGTTGGAACATCAGCTGCGAAGTCGCCCCAACCCAGCCTCAGTAGATGCGCTGGTCCAGGTCTGGTCATGTCCCAGCGCACTCACCAGGTAAGAGACCTTAGGCTGCGGCAATTTGGGAAACAGGGTACTCCCAAAGTGAGAGGTACCTGCTATAGAGGTCCATATAGGTGGTGCCAAATATATGTATATAGAAGAAATCCCACACACTGTAAAGGTTTGCCATCCGTTTGTCAGTCTCTCAGACACACGTCTCGCTCTTGCCCCTGTCACTGCCACACCGTGAACCGCTCTCGGAACCTCCCACACGCTTCATCCTCTTCGGAACCAGCTTCGGAACCCCGGAGGGGGGATGAACGAGGATCACGACGCGAGGATGGTCTCACGACCTTTCCTCTCCTGAACGGTCGGTCTCGACCGTCACGACGGTCGAGTCGTGACGTCCCTTTCCTGACGCCGAAGGACGATGGCTGCGCCGCCGTTGTAGCTGGGAGCCGTCCAGGTGAGATTCACTTCATACCTCAGATGGTGTGGACAGAAGGATTAACTGATTAACACGGGAGCGGAGGGAGAGTCTGAGGTCTTGCTGTCGAGGTCCAACAAATCCAAGGCACGGACAGACGGGAAGGAAAAGGACTATTGGATTAAACCGCTTGTACATATGTGTGTCAAGAATGGTATGATTACAGATCAGACAGAAGAAGTTACGATTGCATGAAACTTAAAACAGTACTGTAAATATGTGATGCAAAACAAATGTTCTTCAGCTGCAGGAAGATATGTCAAGGAAAGTAGGGAGGCTCCATATTAGCAGCTTTGCTGTGACTCTGCAAACAATCTGCTTCCCCAGTCACAGCCAGCCCGCAGTCAGCTGCTAAATCCAAAATGTATGGAGTGGATTGATGGTGAAAGCTCACACGAAGAAAGCAAACAAGGAAGGAACCAAAAAGTAAAATGATCTTTTCTCCGAAACATTAAATCAATAACGGCGTTGGATTAAGGGCTCCCTGATCACCTCGTATACGGGCCCAGTAGAGGACTATTGTTTGCAAGCTGGCCAAAGGTGCTTTGCGTTGGAGCAACAGAATCCGTCCAATTCTGGTTGAACCACCAAGCAAGCAGCACAGCATAGGTCTATGCAAGTGTCAACCTCAAACCCCCCTCAGTTATGCTGGTGTACCAAATTGACAGACCTTATAATTTTTGGATAGTTTGCATCACGTGGCAGTCCATTGCCTCTACCTCATCTATGTACAGTATCCTTTCCAGGCCAGATAGCCCACCACTGATCCATCTTCACAGGGCTCATAAGGTTGATGGCCAGCAGCCGCCCTTTTCGACATGGGCTCAGCGGGTTTCACCAAACAAGACTTGGCTCCAGGGCAACCCAGCTGGCATCGCTTCCCAAGCAGCGATCGTGTGTGTGTCTACAGATTTTTCAGCCTCTCTCTTGAGGGCTACGTTTTAAAGCACTGAAATGCCTGTGTATATATATATATACAATATCTGAGACTGTGGCCTTGCAGGTTTTGAACCATTCGCATCCTGGGAACTGGATGAGTCACCTCTAAGGAAGCGGAAATTGTGCTGTGCTCTGGAAACCAACAAATGCAAATGCACGTCCACAAACAGGCTAGCAGCCTCATGGACGGGTTCTTCGAAATGGAGGCCTTCTTTGGGCCTCAGGATGCCTCAGGCCTTGGGGAGGCTAGGAACTCAGAAAGATGTGCCAGCAGATTGTGATGTGATTGAACTGAGAATATGCTTGTGGATGCGCACATACCTCTACAGAATGATGTACACTAAGGTAAACTGAGGTTATGTGGTGATGCTGAGCTTCTAAACTTGGGCGTTCTTGAGAACAAAACATGGTTGTGCGTGTGAGTTCTCCACTCTTGGGCCCTTCGAGCTTCCTCTGTCACTGCAGCTGCTGGATTATGCTGCGCTGCAAAAGATCTTTGACTTCACCTCCCAGCGGCGACATCCAACGGACTAAAGAAATAAGCCCAAGAGAGCTCCCTAACAGCTGGGCTGGGCATGAATCCGCCTAGTAGGCAATGGCACCATTGTCTGCTCCCCGACAAGTGCTGTGCAGTTTGCCAGACAGCGCTGTCTTCAAAAGTGCGGGCCTTTTCACTGCTATCTGGAACTTGCTCCAGGACCTGCTCCAGAACTTGCTCCTGCTCCAGCAGAACCTGCTCTGGAACTGCTGGGAACTTGCTCAGGCTCCAGAACCTGCTCCTGAAACCTGCTCCGCAACCTTCTCCGGAACTTGCTCCCGAACCTGCTCCGGAACCTGCTCCGGAATTTGCTCCACAAGCTGCTCCGCAACTTGCTCCGGAACCTGCTCCGGAACCTGCTCCGGGACCTGCTCCGGTCTGTTCCGAAGTCTTTACTATGGCTGATGACTCAAGACCCCTAACCTTCGCTGTTGGGGAACAAAAAAGACTGAACCGTTTGTAGAACCAACGGAATTCCCAGCTTGACACAGCGACACAGGTTCAACCAGGAGTGAGGACGTACAAACACCCGTCCTTCTTCCCAACAACAACATCCGATGCGACACACTCGAAAACAAGACAGATATTAACTTTAACATGTATATTATATATAGTATATATTATGTATTATATAAATATATAACACAATCCGGTCAGAGTCAAAACCTCACCCAGTCCAAATGCCGGAAAGGACAGGGTATCCTATCAGTTATGCAGGAATCAATCTGGCTAATTTAGGCAACAGCTCTCCTTCGGAAGTCATTACAATCATTACAATTATTTCATGGGTGACTCATCTCGTGATCCTCCTGCAGTTCTTTGCGGAAGAAGTGTTGTCGAAAACCCTGCCTAGGTCTCGAAGGGTCCATGCTTTGACATCCTCCTCGCTGATCTCGGGATGTTCCAGCCAGTCCTGAACCAGAGACAAGGACCGAAACACCTCGCAGAATCATTTGGCTTTGAAAAACAAAACTGATTGTGGCTGGAACTTGGAACCGTTTGGTTGTTCGGACTGTTTGGTCGTCTTTCGTTTGGCCGGACTCGTTTGTGGCGTTGGGGCCTCGTTGGGGCACGTGATCGCCCAGCCAATTCTCCGGCTTCAACCCGTTCACCTTTGCTCTAAATGGGCAAGCTTCCTGTTACTACAAGGCCAGGAGCCCCTACTAGTAGCTTCTTGCTCCTAGTAGCGATGCCCTTTGTTCCTAGTAGCGTCCTATTCATGTTGCCCGTATCTTTCCCCGGCCCGTCGCGTGACGCGTCAACGATAGAGATCCTGGTATTGCGTGACCTTCTGGTTGTCGCTTCGATCCAGCAACACTGCCTCGTTGGACTGGGCAGTCGTGCGTGAAAGTGACTGCCTTTTTAGGAGGCCCCAAGCAGTGTCCAAAGTTTCTGATTGGCTTGGTGGAACCGAAAGAGAGTGAAGAGTTCTTGTGGTAATGAACTAAGACTAGAGAGACGAACAGCGTGCTCTATATACCTGCATGCTCTGCAATGTCCTTCGTGTAGACAATGATGACATCTTGACCTTGGAGCTTGCGGAGCGACACTGTGCAGATGAACAGGACTCGATCCGGGCCAATGTACAAGTCTTGGACAAAAAAGAGATGCATCCCAAGCTGCGAAGCTCCTCTGTACAAGCAATTGACATGTCAAGTGAGTCAAGTGTCCTTTTTCTAGATCCGTTCTGATGCCTGCGCTAGTCTGTGCTCAGTATTGTACCCATTCTTCACACGGTCAAGTCGGGTGCAAGTCGTGTGAATGTATCACATCTTCGAATTTTCGAAGGATTTTGAAGGGTAGCAACTTCGGAGCGACGAGCGCTTCCATCAGACCTGTGCAGGTAAGCGAGACAAACCCACACATCGGGCATCCAGAGAGACAGCGTGGCATTTGTCACACTGCATGGACTGCTCGCTTCACTAACCCCAGCTCAGGGTAGAGAAAGAAGAATTGGTTCCGATGAGATGAGAAGCTAGACAGGTATGAAACCCACGGCAGATTCTCATGAGTGCGGTAAAGCCAAACTCGGCTACCACAATTGTTTGCACGCACGTTTATAGCTTCTTGCGGACGTCAACCTCAAGAAACTGACGTTGATGAGGATGGTAAACGCCATGATAGGATTTTTCTTCGTTAATATCAGACCTGAAAGTCAAGCTACTTGCCAATTGGACAGGACTTTCTTTGTTCTTCTCATAGATGCCTCCATAGGCATAGTCCGTAATTGGCGCAGAAAAGTTGCGCTGGATGCTGAAAGCAGCATGCTTGTACCCCATGACCAAGCAAACTTCATGAACCTTGGCGGGTCCAGGTGGCAAGCCAAAGAATCCAGTTGTGGCCCACACGTGAAACTCCAGCATTTCGATGGCGCTGTTCTTTCTGCAGCCAGAGCAATGAAAGGTTCCACATAGACTCATGTAGTAGTTCACACTCAAATAGTCCCCTGAAATCGCGTCCACCTTTCTGCAGGCAAAAGTCTCAAAGTCCTTGGCATCCGTAGCATTGATGCTCTCCTCCACTTCCACGAAACTCACGGGAAACTCGCGTTCTTGGACTTTGGAGCCGTGCTGGTCCATGATCTGGAGGCAAAAGAAGCAAGCCAAGCCTGCTGCAGTGGCAGCTAGTCCCAAGCGAATCTGCCACTTACGTGATGAAGCTGTATCCTTGGGCTTCCCATCGGAACAAACGCTAGCCGCTAGCCGCTACACATGTTTGCTGCTACACAGCCGACTTGTTAAAAACATGTTGAAACCAACGTATCCTCAAATCCATTATTCAAGCACCTGGAGACATGGTCAACCGCAGACAAGCATCAATGCCAATGTGCTGACCCTCATTCAAGCCAACCTCCTCCTCATTGCGCTCCAAGTCCACAATCAAGCCGCGCATTGCTAGGAAGGAGCGATCAGCACTGGTAGACGGTGCGAATCAAACAGGGCCAACCTATCGAACTGATGGACCAAATGGTGGCGGCGAGGACCGAGGCCCAAACGTTTAGCAACATTGGGACATGCCACCGTTTAGCTCGTGCGAAGAACTAGTCATCCTTCCACTTCTGGGCTCCCGGCTTTGTCACGAAGATGAGGTCGATGAAGACGTTTGCCAAAGCAAGGAAAGGCATTTTGAACTGCAACTCCTTCCTGCTGCTGCTACTACCACCACCTCCTCCACCACAACCAGAAGACTGTCCAACAACACCTCAACAACAAGTGTTAGAGAAGGAAAGTACAGCCTTTCTATCGGTTCACTTCCCCTGCAAAGTGTCGGTACCCTCTGCCACACCTCTCCAGCTCCTCCCAGCGAGACCGTCGTGACCGGAGCCCGGAGGCACCTGGAGCCCGGCCGCCCGTGCTCCGCAGAAGTCTGCCGCCAGGCTATCGCCAATGTGGAGAATCTCCTGGAAAAGTGAAGTGTTGGAAGGTCAGACACCCACTCCTACTGAAGGTCAGACGTGTCTCCCCCCCTCTCAAACTGTTTGGTCCAACTCAAAGGACCAAATGGTGTGTGAGGGTGTGAGAAACGATTCATCCTTTCCATGCTGCCAGCTGTCTTGGTGAGGATGATGCCTCGTTTCAGTTGGTCGCTTCATAGGATGAACCAAGTGAAGTAACAGCGGAAACAGCAGCTTGCAAAGACAGAGAGCCCAAACCTTCAGTCTGACCATTAGTGATGTGAGCAGGGAAAGTCCGTAGGCTATCTTTCGCCTGTTTTCGTTGGTTCAACCGGTCGGTACCGGGCCGCTCTGGTCGGAGCACTCCTCTCGCTTAATTCCATCCACCCAGAAGTTCGCCTCCACAGCACAAGATCACAATCTGTTGCTCAGGAAACACCCAAACTACTAACAAGTGCCACGCTAGTAGAAACAAGTGCATCGCTACTAGCAACAGGTGCCTTACTGGTAGTAACAAAAAGCTAGTAGAAACAAGTGCCACGCTAGTAGTAACAGGTGCCTTACTAGTAGTAACAAGAAGCTATTAGATTTATTGCATCAAATTACCAGCTTTAGCTTCAGAAGTGAAGTTACGGAAACAAGGGATATAGCTTCCTATCACACAGATCGTCACATCGTGGTTCCAGCCTTTGTCCTTGGTTGAACCATGAGAAAACAAGCTTCAATCCGTTCAATCCCTGTTGCCCTCATTGCAGGTGAGAGAGTTTGGATTTGCTTGGCTGTGCTTGGCACTGCTCGACCAAAAGACTTTTTTCCACACAGCCCTTTCTGGCAACATGTACTCTTCCTACTTCTACTTGCTAACAACACATCAACTTATACAGGTACAACCAGTTCCAGCTCAGCTTGGATGCTACATCAACCCACCCTTTCAGAAACCGTCACCTCCTGGCCCCCCCAAGGTCTCCCGGGCACCTGCCGGTAGGTCTCGACAAAGATCCACGGCTCCGGCTTTTCACTGCCCACTTCTCGCCCGCAGACGAACCACCTGTGGATCATGCGGATGGAGCTGTGAACTTGCCCATGAAGTCAAAGCACAAAAAACAAAAGACCGTTCTTGTACGGAAACGTCATTTCGTCAAGTGCGGGGGATCGTCTGGAAATGCTGCTAACAGCAGAAGTGGCCTTAAATGGTCGTGGAAGCCAAGCATGGGCAGCACATCATCAAGAGTTCTGGTGTCGCTATTGGTGGTCACCTGAAGGTCCGGTGGATAAGGAGGCGATAGGCCTGCTTTGCCTTTGAGCCTCTCTCAGGTGGTGGGGAATCGACACCTATCTATCTCGTAGCTCCAACAAACGATCATGGAGCAACTAACAAGACCAGCCCAAGATCAATTGTCCCACCGGCTTTGAGGGGTGTCCTGATGGGTCAGCCCTGTATGTTGACTCGACTCGACGCTCGCCATAATGAGTCAAACCTCATCCTTTCACTCCACTTCCACGGTCAAGCTGCTCCTATGGCCAGGCCCTGTTGTCGTGCCCAGTCCAAGAATGGCTTGGCATCGCTTAATTCTTCGTAAGCATCCAGTGTGCCTTGGATGCCAAAGACATGCCTCCCTGTGGCACTGCTCCTTGAATTGAGAAATGTTCTGACAGTCCATCAGCCGAAGCTTTCAAAGAACCCAAGCATAGAGCTTCTAAGTTACACTGGCAGACTTTGTCCAAAGACTCTGACGCCGAAGCTTTGACACGCCAAGCACGCAACAGGATACGGCGCCAGACCTGCCAGTGCGCCGGGCGGCCGTAATGCTGGTAGACGCGGCGGAAGAAGCGATCGAAGTCTTGGTCCGCGTAGTTGCGGCCGCAGTGCCGCAACGCCGCCTTCACCACCAGGGCCTCTTGGTGAGCCACGCGGTGTTGTGGTGGAGCGGAGTGGAGCGCAGGTGGAATAGTGGAGGGGGAGCGAAAGATCTGCCAATCATGGTAAACGTCTTTCTTTGGAGCAATGTCTTTCTTTTTGAGCTCGTGGCCCTGCCTCCTTACTTAATATTAGTAGGCGCCTACTGAATTAAGTAAGGACTAGTTCGCTCATAGCTAGGACGCGGGATAGCTCATGCTATTCATTTGGTTCCTTTTTTTTTTGGGAAACTTACATAACTTCTGCCACCCATGGCTGAAAGGGTTGAGCTGCAGGTCCTTCAAATCCTTTACTTTCACCCAGCCTCATCTTTTGAGCCTTTTCAACCCTTCAAGGAAGCCAATCCTTTGAACAGGTGACAACCTTTCGCCCTTGCAGTCGAAGATACCCACCAGCTTCGCGAGGAAAGGTTGTCCTCATGTCCAAAGCAAGGATAGCCTGGGCCGGAGCAACCATGTCCTTCGCCTCGACCGGTCGCTAAAAAACCGGTCGCGCATCCACCTTGGTTCGATCCAACGCGCGAGCAAGACTAGCAGCTCAGTTTGAGCTGAGCTTAAGAACGACCATCGCGACGGTGGTCCCAGCAGCTCAAACATGAAATGGTGGGCTGCACAAAAGGGCTGTTGTACATCCATAGAGTCCATTCTCACCCACAAAAAGACATTCGAATCTGCAAAAACACACATCTCGCTCACATCTCGTGATGCACACCGGTACTAGACTTTAGACATCTTTGCACGCGAAACACCCAAAATGTCATCTCATCTGTCCTTTCTCCAAAACCGTCCCCAAACCGTTCCCAAACCGTCTCTTCTAGACCTGCCCTCATCGGCCATGCAGCTCTTGGAGGTCTCTCGGAAGGCCTCTTTGAAGGCAGGTTTCAGCTCCTGAAAGATGGGCGATGTCCGGAGTCCGATCTTCAACGGCTCTTCACTGAGGATCACGTGCCGGTGTTTTCGGTCCGCCACTGTTTCTTCACCATTTGTTTCTTGACAGATTCCTTGACACGAGGTGGTGAGGACAGCCCGACCTCCGGCTCGGTGAAAACGGTGAACCATAACCGGAAGCCAGCATCAATTCTCGAACCCTGAAGCTGCAGTTGAAAGACATTACAATTAAGACCAATGAGTCCGATGAGTCCTATGTACATCAGAGATCCTCCACCCGGTGAGGATCTATCAAATTCCCTGTAACAGGCGGTCGAACAGGTGTCGATCACCCGGCTCCGCTCAGGTTCCGCCCCGGTCCGCCCGGCCTCTGCGCTGGGCGGATTCTCCAGCTTCGCCCACAGGGCACAGGCCGCGTAGGTCTCGTGGATGGGATGCCTGGCGCAGGGAACGGAACAGAACGGAACCAATACGAACAAAAGCAAACAGAAAGTGAAACTGGAAAGGAGTGAGCACATGAAAAGTGTTGCTTTGCTTTTAGGTGTCTTTCTTTTTTTCGGTTTTTGAGAAAGGGCTCAAGACGTCTCTTGAGAGACGTTAGCTTTAAAGGAAGCCAATCGGATGTCCCAAGGCGAGCCAACCAAGCCAGCGGGAAATTGAATGTCTATATACATGTCCATGTTTAGCTGCTCTTTAGCTGGGCATGTCCTAGCATGGCCCAAACTTACCACGGTTTCTCGCTCGTAGCTAGGTAGCTCTCAATTGCAAAAGGGGGCTGGTATCTGTGGGTGTGCCTTTTTGCTCATGAGGGTCTTTACAAAGAGCCCGTGTTCTTCCCAACTTATGGAAAGTTTCCTGATTCCATTGAAAAAACGCGTTTTGATCAATTCCCATGAGTCTCTTTCATAGCCGATCACTCTCGCACATCTGCATGTCTTGTTTCTTTCAATGGTTAGTGCTCATGGTTTATTCCAAGAATGGCAGAACTCTGGTCCACCATGAAGGATATGTTTAGGTGGAATATGTCAACACAGGATAGTTATGAGGTCAAACCTTGCTGTCAGATGACCTACAAACACCAGAACTCGCTACACCAGTGACTATATCGCTCGATTTGTCGCTGCACAGCGTGGACCTTGTGGGTGAATAAGGCTGCACCGTCGCTCAATGAGCTCGTGCAGAATTCTCTCGCCGAATTCAATCGGTGCCCGTCTTCTTTGCTGAATTCGGTCCACTAGCAAAAGAGATGTTCAACCAATATCAAACCTGCAAAGACTTCAGCGATTCAACTCCAGGGTCGCCATTTCCCACCTATGCACGAGCAAGGTGCCAGTAACGTCCAAGGACAAAGCCTGCTGAGGATCGGAAGGGAAAATGAAATTTCCAGGGATGGTTTTTCCGGTGCCAATCCAACTTGTATCCATCACGGGATCACCAAAAATTGGTTCAGCCAAATGCCTTCAACCCTGGATTGCTTGTTTTTGGGAGTATGAATGAACTTGCTTGCATTTTGACCAACTCCAGTGCGAACAGCAATCTTAAGTTTTCGCCTAGTTCAAGCTGTTCCATTCTACCTTCAGGCTCTTGGAGCTTGGCTTGTTGCGAGCCTTGACTGCTGGCCACAAAACACGGGCCATCACCGTTGGGGCCAGTCTGAAAGCCTGGTTCTAGCTGCTGATTCAACTGGAGCAGAAAGGTTTTGACTTCGACGCATCGCACTCCGCAAGTTGTGTTTGTTACTCTCTTGCTCCAGCTTTACAAGTGGGGTTGCTCAAACAACCGTTACAGTTGTAGTAGATGACCGGGCATGAATCCAAGGATCCTGCTGACAATCAGCTTCTTCATAGATCATTCTTTGCAGCTTGAGCCAAGCAAATAAGGGATGCTCGCTGGTGCACAGCCAATTGAAGTGTTTTGGACAGTCTTGAGCAACTCGTTGAATTTTGTAGATCAAATCCCTCGATTGTCTAATCCCTCGATTGTTGCTGAACTACGTCTAAAATTTCTCATCATCAGTGCACCCCACAGGTTTGCTCACTTGTAGATTTACACCATGTAGCACTCAAGCAAGTCTAGTGCAAAAACGGGACTCCATCTTTCCAAACAGCACCGGGAATCATCGGAATCATCCACAGGAGCTGGGTGTGATTCCAAATGAGAGCCAAGTGGGTGTGTGTTCCTCCTCACAAACCGGGAATCGGTCTCCCGACTGCCCTGCCACAGCGCGAAGATCCAAGGGAGCCCAAGGCAGAACAGGACCAGTGCGAATGGTCAAAGGATCGCCTTGGCAACCGGCCACCGGCCACTGGCCACCGGTCATGGTCTCATTTTGAATCGACCAGGAGAAGTTAAGGGCGTTCTTTATCAACAAATGCACAAATATATGTGTATATATATATATTATATATCCACCACCCAAACATCTTTCAGGCACGGTCGGCTCACTTGTTGGCGCATGGAAGTCTCCAAGTCCAACAATGGGCAAGTACTGCATCTGTGAAACATCTGCAACATCTGTCAATATGTATACAGTATAGTTGTATACATATTTGTATGTTGAAGGACTCTGTAAATATCTGTGATCTAGTCTATTTCGTATGTCAGGGTGTGGGCCCCCTCCTTGAGCAGATGCGTGCCCAGGCACTCAAGTCCCCATCGCCCGCAGCGCTAAGGGCTTGCACCTGTGACACCAGTTATGTTGGTGGAAGAAAGAAATCCAATGGTGATGGCATCATCACACGTGATGCGTGTGACCTTGCTTGTCTTGACCCAAAGTACCAGCTTGTGCAAACAATCGTTACATCTGCGTCCATGGCTTGGAACGACACAGAGTGCCCCGAAGTCGCTGTGGCGCCCGATGGGACGGACCGGCGCCTGGAAGGTATATTCGGTGTCACCTGCAACGGCGATCGCCGGTAAGCGATCGCCCATCTTGGGACAGCTCAGATGAAAGGTGGCCGGAGGACTCGAAAGATTGAAACTTGAAGTGGAAAGGCTCTTTCTGCATTGCTTCGTAGAAAGAGGTCCTGTTCATCACTTCATCTGATGTTGCTTGTATATGAGGGTGTCTCCCCCCATGGCATGCACTTCTTTGGTCTGTCTTCAAGCCCTTTGTTCCCTTCGTCTCAATGTGACAAGCTCGGGTTGAGAAGGCGTTTTGGATGATCTTCACCAACAAACAGGCTGCACCTGTCAGGTTCGTGACGTCCACGAAGGTGGTGTCGGTCCTCAGGCTAACCGCGTGGGGCGAAACACTAGACATGGAGGCAAACATGGAGTCTCTGCGATGGCCTCCAACCAAATAGCAATGGCCTCCAACCTAGTAGCGATGGCTAGACATGGAGGCAAACAAGGAGTCTCTCCCACTGAAGACCACGAGCTCCCCCACGTCACCAAAACCTCACCTGTTCGGGTGTGTGCGTGCTTAGAGCTGTGGAATGACTGATCTGAGACCTCCGAGACTGGCAGAGATCAGGACCCAGGAGATCCCAGGAGCAGTGGCTTAACAGACACCCATCTCTTCGTCAGAATCATCCAGTTGTCGCGTGGAATAGATCATGTCGTGAACGACAGCACTGTTGTTTTTTGAAGGATCAACGACGTCAAGCAACCTTGGAAAAAGTGAGACCCAGCTTCTAGGTTTCATTGCAACTTGGAAAATCGGGATTGGAATCCAGGTACATAACATGTGCCTTTTACTTGGTATCTAGCATATTCATAACCAACACCCATAATCATCATCATAATCCTTGCCCCCTTGTCATCTTTACCTTTACCAAACCCCCCCGGTGCCTGCCATCTGTCCAGACCCCACACCGGAGGTGCTGTTGCCCACAGCGCCGCTCCTGCCTTCCAGCCGAACGCGATGGGCAATCACGGGCTCTCCACCTGAGAGGCCCAAAACCTCGGCGCCGGCCACGCGGCCACGCGTGCGGAGCGCGTTCGGGGCGGTGTTGTTTTTCTCCGGTGTGGAGACCTGGTCAGTGTCTGAAATCGGCAAGATCTGTAACTTTCTGCAGTAAGGGCCTCCAGTTCTACTGGTGAAGCAAGTTGCATCTCTGTCAAGGGATTGCCTCGGTCTTCAAGGACTCTCGAGTCCTCGGTCTTCCTGACTGATGTCTCCCAGCTCGTCTTTCTCTCCCATCTCTCTCAGCTTCATGGGTGTCGCTTGGTACTGGAGTGCTCAGTCACCACCTCAAAAAAAGAAAGAAACACACTGGAGAAAATGCGAAAGGTACTTCTTCTCAGCACCCACGAAAACCCAAAAGCCTTTTATTTGTGGTTTGACCGATGGGAATCTTAGAGCCCAAACCCAGGAGAGCTGGAGGCTGCTGTTGGTGACCTACCGGAGGGCGGCCGCAGCAGTTGAGAGGGTGCACCTTTTGGTAGCGCGCGCTCTCTCTCTCTCTCTGCCACTTGGTGCGGGTGACTCAGCCATCCACAAAAAGGGTACAGTAGCAGAATCGTTGAAACAAGAATACAGTGCGAGCATCAACCTCCTCTGCCTGAGAAACAAAAAAGGTGGAAGCTGCTCCGGTTTCTCCTTGACCCAACTCCACCTCGTTCTCTATATAAACTGCTCTATCCCTGATTTGAGGTTAACATAACGGAAAACCGAACAGGTACAAAAACAATATCCTTTTCCCTGCCTGATGCATGCCCTTGACGTCTTCTTCGTGAAACCCCTGACGCTTTGCTCTTGCCTATCCGAGAACCGTCCCGCCTCACTAGCACTGAGACCACTGGGCGCGTACGGAACACGCGCCAGGCAGTAGGTACCACTTTCACCTCGCGATGTATGAGGAGTTCAAAAGCAACCCGAATGTTTCAAAGCGCACAGGGAACCTGGCCGACCAACAGGTGGCCACAGGTCCTAGGCTTCCGGGCTGGCAGTCAAGGTCCGCCCTTCCGTGCAGCTGACTGCACACTGCCCATCACTCCTGGCAAGAAATGTGTGTTGCTTTGTCACTGGACCTCTTCCATGAAAGGCCTTCGTACAAAGGCCGGGGGCGTGAAGGCTTTCCTGGTGTTGAAACCGAGTGTTCTGCTCCTGCATCAGCTAGGTTGGTAATTGATAGCAATTGAATGTTCCTTCTCATACCAGTCTGCCAGGCCCTTGCAGCTTTCAGTCGGTCGCCTCGCAAACAAAGCAAATGCCTGGGTTGCCCCACGTGCCCGAGCAAAAGCTGCAGCTGCTGTGGCACGTAATCTCCTCAACCTGCATTGGATCGATGTAAACATGTGTCACATGTTGATAACGAAATGCGAAAAAGAAGGCAGTTCCATATGGAATTCAATGCAGCGCTCCAGTTCTGCCTTGTCACAGCCTAACGACCTGGCAGCCCCTTTATCGGCACCATGCTGCAAAAGCAGCCTGATCACAGCCTCATGGCCACCTTGAGTAGCATCCATTAGGGCAGTGGCGCCATCACCCCTTGTGGCCCCCACATCAACACCATGGTGCAACAGCAGCCTCACGACAGGCTCGTGCCCACACTTAGCAGCAAACATTAGTGGGGTGAAGCCGTCATTCCTTGCGGCCGCTGCATTGGCGCCATGGTGCAACAGCAACTTTGCCACGTGCTCGTGGCCGACCGTAGCAGCACAAAGCAACGCAGTGAGGCCATCATTCCTTTTGGCCCCCGCATTGGCCCTATGCAGCAACAGCAACTTTGCCACGTGCTCGTAGCCAGCTGTAGCAGCACACATCAGAGCAGTGGCACCATCATGCCTTGTGGCCCCAGCGTCGGCACCATGTTGCAACAGCATCCTCACCACAGCCACTTGGCCACCTCGAGCTGCACCCAGCAGAGCAGTTTCGCCATTCCTGACTCTGGCCGCTACATCAGCACCACACTGCAGCAGTAGCTGTGCCATGGTTGCATCTGTGGCTTTAGACAGCAGTTCGGTCAACCACACTGTCCGTTGTCCGTCTGCACTGAAGGATGTACAAATTTCCTGCAGCTGCTCGCGTGTAAATGATGCTCCGTGCAGGCAGCACTTGGCCGCTGAAGCATAATCTGCCCTTGCGAGTGAAAGCTGCAGAACGCTGCTGGAAAGAAGCGAGCGAACGTAGTGATCGAAGTTCCCAAAAAAGCAGTTCAACCCATCCAAACCTGATGCTTGGATTTCGGCATCAAAGAAGGCTTTGGCACCATGTGCTTCTATCGCACCCTTCAAGCCATTGCTTACAGTTTCTGCCCAAATTGCATACTTGTCTGCCTCCACCGAACTCTGCGCCCTCATCGCTGACACCTCCCACAAAGCCTCACACGTGGCTCGAAGCATCACAATCGCTTCTGCCTCCCATTGAAAGCTTTCTGGCTGCGACAACGAGCCCATGTCGGAAATCAACTCAAAAGGCCGCTCAAGGTCCTTCAACCGAGAGATTTCGAACAAACACCAAATTCTTCTGAAAGGGTTGATTTGGGCATCGAGAACCATCACAGCTCCTCCGGTGGCTTGCGACAAGGCTGCGTTGAAAGGGCCTTGCCGGGGCGTCTTCCCCACCTCCTCAGCCACATTGTGCTGGTTTAATGCAAAAAGGCAAATCCAAAACACCACTGCTTCTGGATCTTCAGTCTCCAGAGCTCGAAGTTTGGTGCCTGCCCACATTTCCAAAGCCTTGACCGTGCTGTGGAAGTCATGTCCCCAAAAGTGGGAGACAAAGCAGTGCACGTACAAACCATGTGGATTCAGCAGTTCAGAAAAGGATGCTGGTTCAGTGCTCGCCGGAATGCTTTGCTGATGATCCTGATCACGGGCCATGCAATGTCCTGGCTTCGACATAGGAGTTACTACAAACATGTCCAGGCCATACAAATTGGGTGCCTGATAGAACATCTTACCATCGAGGATGGCTTGAGAATTCACGGTGTTGAAAGAGTTGCACTGCATCGCCAACCATCCTGATGTCACAAACAAGGTCTCGAGGTGATGCAACTGACCCAAAGCCATGCCCCGCAAGGAGTGTGGAACTATTCGTCGTCTCGAAGGATGAGAGGCTTCAATGATCTCAGCGAAGCGTTCTTTGCTGATCCACGTTTGCCCGAGCATGAGCTCTTGCAGTTCTGGCCCCTGAAAGCTTCTGCCAAAGACCCGAAGAGCTTGCTGAAGCTCATGGAAAGATAAATCTCCTGAGCCATCTTGATCACATCGAGTGGCCACGAAGTGTGGATTCTCGAGCTTTTCTTTCAAGTCTGCATGCACACGACGCAGCTCCAATTCCCACGAACTGGGACAGCGCTCCGGTTTCTCGGGGTTGGCGCCATGATGCAAAGCTGGCGAAGCATTCAGCAAACTGGGAAGCCTCCATTCATGGTCTACTTGTGAGACACCATCACCAAACACGTTGGGTTCCATCACTTCCGCGCTTTTGGCGGTTGGGACACTCCATGAGCCGCATCAGCAGGAAAAGAACAGATCCTGTGTGTATACCCCTTGAAAGTGGTCCACATCTGACAGCCGTTCACACGACCAGGGCCAGGCCGGCGTTCCATCTACTGTTGAAAAAAGAGCTCGAAAGTGGTCCATCTCCATTCACAGGATGTTCAACAGTAGATGCCTGTGAGAAACAATCGAAAGTGGTTCCATCTACTGTTCACGCTGGGCACCTGTCTCTCGCTTGTGCCCCTGTCGCCTTCCAGCTGTTCACGACCGCCTCCGCGCAGGCGCGCAACGTGAGGCAAGAGTCCAAGTCCTGGCTGTCGGCAACGTCAGAAACGTGTAGAGAATAAGAAGGAATAGATAGAGGTAAATAAATAGATCAACAAATGAAAAACGATGAACAATGAACTGGAAGCTGGAAGAACTACCAAGTCTGACTGCGAATCGATGCAAAAGCTCGGGCAGAATAGACATGCCCGCTTCTCCCGAGTCCTGCTTCTGCAGCTGGGCAAAGGCCGTGTCGATCGCACCAGCAAGTGTTTGGCCCTCATATATCCGGACCCCTCAGGACGCACAGGGTGTGCAAGAGATGGTGATCAATGCAGTTCTGATCCAAACTACAAAGCTACGAAAATGCGATGTTCAACTCCAAATACTTGTACCAGTATTTACGGGGTATTTGAAGAAGTTTCATCTCGATCTCGAGGTCTTGGGACGGCAAATATGGGAGCGAACAGCGATGGCCTCCAACCTATATACTTGCGATGGCCTCCAACCTACTTGCAATGGCCTCCAACCTAATTGCGATGGCCTCCAGCCTACTTTTGTTCAGAACTTGCCGGAGGAAAAAATCAAGTACTTGTTCAGCACTTGCGTCGAAGCTGCACCATTTCCTGTTGAGCCGAAGTCCATTTCCGATTGTAGTCACCAACAGGAAACAGGGCCGTTCGGTGGCAAAGCGGTGCAAAGAAAGAAGAGCACTTGTGCACTCTTTAGCCCCACAAGGCCCAAAAACCGAGGCAGTCGCCGTTGTCGAGCTCCAAACAGGATGACGCGACCCTGAAGTTGGTTTCGCTGGTAGGCAAGCTGACAAGCTACTCAAGTACTGCAGGTTCTCTATTGGAAATGAAATGAAATGAACTCATGTTGAAGATTGTTGAAGGATAGATCGTGATGGTTCTTGAACTCAGGTAGGTGTTTCTTTCCAGAAAACGTCACTCTTTTTTGCGCTCTTTAACTCAGCACAGATGCGTCTGAACAAGGGCTTTGGTGGAATGTACACTGGGTACACAATGCGTCGCAGCCACTCAACTTGTTGGCAAAACAGAATGAACAGTGGAATCTAGGACAAAGAGCTTTTCAATCCAAACACTACCCAACAAGAGAAATGAGGAGAGGAACCGAATGGGAAGAAAAGAAATAGTTGTTTAGGCGTTTGGATATGCCAAATCACTTATCTTCCCAGCCAAAAGCAAGAAGCTCATTGGATCCCTTTGCTGGGGATCCCGGACCCCGAAGCGTTCCCCACGGACACCTCGGGAGATCTGTCTGGAGACTGAGAATAGCAGCCGTCTCCCGTCTTCCAGATCTGGAGAAAAGGAGGTGCCCCCAGATTATCGCGATGGCCTCCAACCTAATAGCAGCCTATATTAGCTTTGCTTCTAATAGTATCTAATAGCCATGGCCTCCAACCTACTTGCGATGGCCTCCAGCCTAATAGCGATGGCCTCCAGTTCTGGAGAAAAGGAGGTGCCTCCAGATGATAGCTGCCCACGGGCACGGACACCAAGCAAAGGAACCTCGCTGCCATGGCTGGTTTGAAGAAGGACGTCAACCATATCTGCTGGTTCCAGCATCTGCTCATCTAGTTTCTATGGATCTCAGAAATTGAAATGGGAAGCAGATGAAAAAAGGAATCTGAGTAGGGAACATCTTCATTGCAGCGCCATTTGCGCTCACCCTGAGGCTTTCGGGCCTCCAGAGCCGTCCAGATCTGAGAATCTCACACATTCTCTGGCAGAATGCTGAAGCTGCCATTTGGACTTGCGTCCAACTGCACATGCACAGCACCTCAAGCAAAGACTCGTCTGGACTTGTGGCTGTTGAAAAACAGTAGAACTTGTACCATCCAAGATGAGGGATAGTACATCTTACAACATCTTTTGATTTTGAACATGTGGTGTAGAGAGGCAACACCCAAGCAATCTGGCCGCGAGATCTAGACTGTTGCTTCACGAAGTGAAGGACGGTCTAGATCCACCGCCTTCAGTCCCCAAGCTCTCCCTCTGGGCCGAGTTGGCCACAAACAAACTCGTCACGGACGCTTTGAGCTGCTTTGAGCTCCCGTACTTTGGTAATCACCACCCCAGTATCCGAAGACAGGTGGATCGAGCGATGTCCTGAATTCGGGTTTTCGACGTGCGCTCGCGAACGAATGGCGGCCTGAGCTGCCTCTTGCACGGTCATTGTTTTGTTGCAGGTCATGAGAGGCTTTTGTCAACAAGATCTGTCTGTGTATGTGTGAGCGGTATCCAGCACGGACCATGCTTCTTGATCTGTCTGCTGACTTCCACTGTAAGGCAAATCATGAAGAGCATCCAAAAGTTAAAGAACTCATGGGCATGAGCAAATGAAAGGAGACCCAAAGCTTAAACATCAGAGTTCTGTCTCAGACCGCAGCAGTTGGAGGAATGGCGTACCCGTCACCGTTCCAAAGGCAGCCTGTCATATCATCTGTTGCCAACTGTCCAAAAGCGAGGGGCCCTCGCAGAAGCCTCGACTCTCATGACTCACAACATAGGTGCATCGGATGGTTCATGGGTCTTTCCCTTTTATTCCTGGATAGCGTTCAAAGCTAAAGGCTTCTTAAGTGTCTCTTGGTCTTTAGAACCAGGCACAACTCGTACGCACGACTCCTGGCCTGGAACCCTGCAATTTGTTGGGTCTCTAGCCAGGCGTTTTTGGCTTTCTGCAGCCAGCATTTGAAGCTCTCTTACTTTGCATGCTGGGTCTAGCCCCACTTGTTTTGCATGGTTTGTCTATCCCATGGGCGGCAGTAAGAGACTGAGCAACCGCATAAGTACGCCTTGGAAACGTTTCCATCCAAAATCCTCTCTAGAGTCCATTATACCGCCTATGTAATGATTGGTTCATTTGATGCTTCAGGGGAAAAGTCGAACACATGTATCTTAAAGTTTTGGGAGTTTGGTATTCCGAAATCACAAGGCTCCTACAATTGAAACAACCACTCATGTCATCTTCCACCTAAAATGTCATCAATGTTGATGCCTAACACTGGGATCAACATACGTACCTCTCAAAGGAACCTGGCCTAAGGAGAGAATTCCAAGCACCGAGGTCACTTCCCAAGAAGATGTAGACAACTCACGCTCCCATCAAAACTGCCAAGAAAACAAGACAGGAATAGCCAGTCTTCCGCACTTAGTCGTTCCCTCAAAGATTTTCCAACTCCAAAAACACTGGCAGTCACTGGCACCCAACCAATGAGATGTCATTCAATACCTCAACACGTCAAAACCCTTGTTTCCCTTCAGACCTCCTAACTATAGGCCATTCTAGACCCGCCTCCCAGCCCTCCACCGAGTCCGACTCTGGGGGACCGAAGTTCAGCTGCACCGGCCTCGGACGCGACGGACGCAGCGACGCAGCCGGTGACCGAAAGGGGACGGACCAGGTGCCAGGCCCAAAGGCGTTGACCGAGTGGAGTAAGGCGTTGAGCCTGAGAAAGCCATCTGGGACAGGGAAAATGGCCCAACACGGAGACAACGACGCGAGAAGAAGAAAGACAAGCTGGCATGCGGCGGAAGAGCTAGGGAGAACTTAAGAACTCTTTGGAGAACCAACTTCGACATCCAGAACCAACTCAACTCGTTCGCCGGGGCTCTGGCACGAGAGACCAGGCTCGCCTGGACTTTTCAACCGTACACACGAAAAATGACCCTTCTCTTTGTGTTTCCCAGACTCTTGCAGGGTCGTTGAAATTCTATCGCGCTACGTTGCCCAAAATGTCACCCACTGGGAACCAGCTACCGAACTCTGGCATTCGGATGAATAGGCGCAACAAATATCTGCGGATGGATGAACAGCATCCTTTAAATGCGAACGCTGATTGTATATCAAATAGCAACAAAAAGCCCTCAACGCTGATTCATCCGTGCGCTACGACCGCGGTCGTCCGTCCGTGGGTCACTTTTCATCTCGCTGCGGAGGATTCCTTTCATCCCGTGGCACAGGAGCTTTGGTCGGCGAATCCAGTGCAACACGAAGCTGGCAGTGAACTTGCAGAATTTGCACTACAAGAGCTTGGTGGAATTGCTCGGGAAAAGCTGGCTACCCCTGCCATATGAACTTCATGGGGGTTCAAGAAATTCAGACATCCCACATCCACACCTGGCACTAAACCAATGAAGGGTCAGTATATAATTAAAGCTCGGACTTGAAGGAATCCACTGTGCATTGCATTGTTGATGGACAAAATCTTACAATACCTGGGATACACCAATCACGGTGCGCTGTGAATAGTGGAAATATTGCCTATGCAAATGGCACTGGATCTTTCCAAGCGCGGCTGATGATCTCAACGTTTCTTGCCAGCTTTATCAAAACTCAAAAGACTCAAGCAAAGCTACTTTTCAACCATGTATGTGTATATATATATATATTATTGATTCTAATTCCCTAGCAAATGTACAAATATATATATATATATATTGATTCCCTAGCAAACTTCCAGGACCCAGACATTCTCAAAGAGAATTCACTGCTCCCCGAATTCTTGCGCACTGGAATCAGCAGAAAGCCAAGGCTGCGAATCAGGGGGGGGCGTTGCACATGGGGACCTTGCAAGCATTGCCAGGCTCCTCTCGGCCGCCACGAGGAGAAGTCCAGGTGATTTTGCTACATTCGGAACGCGTGTTCCAACTCGTCAGCGGCCAGAAGAATCGGCAATAACTCTATGGCCATGCCACATGCAGGGCCCAGCCACAATCCTAACAGCGCAGCTGGATGGCACCTTTGGCACAGAACTGCAGCTGAGCTGAACTGTAACTCATCAAATGATTTCCCTCAACCAGTCCCGTATGATTCCGAACCAAATGATCTCCAATGGCCACTTCGGTGCCGCCCCGAGGCGTTCCGCGATCGCCGATGCCCTGGCGGCTTTCGTTCTCACGGGATGGGACCGACCTGCGGCCCCGAGCCTCACCGGTAGCGGCGCAGCCGCATCAGGCTGTGCCTCAGTTTCAACAGCTTCACCGTGGAAAAGAGCCAAGTGGGTCTATGGTCTATTTATGTAGGTCTTCATCTGCAGTTCTGAAAACGCTGGTCCAGTGGAACCAACTTGCAGTGACGGTCCAAAGCTCATTTTGCGAGGGTTGGGCACCTGCGGTACACGGCGCGGGCGGAGGGTCGCAGCTTTGTGGCCTCAGTTTGAAGGCAGAGGGCGGACCAAAGCTGCGGGTTGGTTCCAACAAAACTTGTTTGTTCAAACAAAAGACGCTGACTGAAATTGAGAGTCTAGTGAAATTGAGATGTGGGATGTTACAATGTTGATGTCCTTGCATGTCTGAAAATGTGCCATATGGTTTGTGCACAATGGTGCTCAAAATCCTCCATGACTTGGGCAAAGACTCCTAAAGGGCAAAACTGAGAGTATGTGAATCCAAGCCAAGAAAAGTTGCTCGGCCGCGTGCCCTTTCGGGGTAAGGGTGAGGGGTTTGGGTTCAGCCCAATTTGAGGCATTTTGACTAGCAAGTCATGAGTTGATGAAGCCTTCAGCAACAGTTCAAAAGGAGGACTAAAGTGCCCCAGTCCCAAACTCCTGCACTTGAAGGGGTGATACCAAACGACATCCCAACATTGGCCGGCGGCCTAATTACCCTTGCTTTTTGGGAACCCAGGGACCAAGTCACCAAGTAGTGAAGGATTCATCAAGACTCTAACTAAGACAGTTTCAACTCTTTCTTAGGCTCCCGACCCGCTTGCCCTTCTTCAAGAGGCCACGTGCCTTGCGCCCGGCAGCCGTCACGCCTCGCATCGGCACAGCGACAAATGATCGTGGATCAATCTTTGGGACGAAGTCAAAAGTTAAGGGAGAATGCTGCCATTCTCAACAGCTTTCAATAGTGTTCGTCCCTACCGGCTACTTGGGTCAGCCACAAGGACCGCAGAAACCCAAACCCAAACGCCTCGCAGTTCTCGATGCTTCATCACAGGCTTGCAAATCCTGATCGAAGCTCATGGCCAGGGCAGCCAGGGCATGGCTTAAAGCGTTGCCAAAATGTTGCCATGCAACGCAGAAGCATCTACGGGGCAGGCTGTGCACGCTGACGCGAAGTGAGAAGAAATTAAACCCCCAGTCGTTCCTGGACAGGAAGCTCTCAACAAATTTTGAACAGGTGCCCTGAAGGTTCCCACTGACTCACTCCAAGAATCCAGTTGATGCGTGGGTCGTTGCGGATGGCATTGTGGAAGGGATCCACCATCACCACTTCGTACCACTTGTGCATCGCATCCTGTGACACAAAGAAGTCTTCAGCTCTTATACAACATCAATGTTGCGGCGTTTATCCGATCACAATCCAGAAGTCATTGACCCTCCAATCCAAACAGTGCTTTGACTTCTTCCCGCCTGTGCCACCCAGTAGGAGTTCAGGACTCGCAGGGATCCGCACTTGCGTCCGACGCGCTCTTCGGCAATGGAGCGGAGGTTTCGCACGGCCTTCCACTTGTTGATGCCTTGGTTCACCTCAAGTAGAGCTGGTCAGGCTTGCAATCTGATGCCAATCTCAGCAACAAAATATCTTGTGGATGAAACGGCAACCCTCCGTTGTGAAAGAGACTCTGCACGGCTGAAGACAGTTAGTGGTAGAATTGTGCAACGGCCTTTCAGCCAATTTTTAAGCTGCTTGGTTGAGAAGAACTACTGTCAACACAAGAAGAAAGCAACCCATAGACAGAAATAATGGGGATCAACGACAGACAGCCAAAGCATTGAAATCCGAAATTTGCCATGGCAAAGAAAAACCGGCTGCCTTTTTCTCTTGAGATCTAGCACGGTCCTTGTTCAAAAAGAGGGCCAAGTGACAGGCTTGCCATAGACAATGCCCTGCGGTGCCCGATACGGCGGAGAGGGAAAACCTGGCCACCAGGTTTGGAAATTAGCTTTTTTTGGGAAAACCCGGCAGCTGATCGAACCGCATTCATCCGTGCTTTTTCCGCCTGATCCGCCACCCGACATGCGGAGGGCACGGATCGACCAGATCTGAGACGGAGTCGTGGACCGGATCCCGCCAACTCCGTGGGTTCTGAGACGGAAAGAAGGTCCCAAGGATCCCGATGTTCAAAGACTATGATTTTGACTGGACTCTTTGATTTTGTGTGAGTCCGGATTCGAAGCTGAACTGTCAAGCGCACCCGGTAGGCACTACGACCCGGTAGACACCAGCGGGTGCTGGAAAACGCAATGGAGCCGCCTTGGCCACACGCTTCTTGCGATCCCCTCGCTTCACGCGCACCCGGTAGATGCAGTAGCCCTGCTTGGCCTTGCATAACAGTGGCGAATGTGAAAGCTGCGGTGCTATTCAGAACAACACTCAGCAAGAAACTCTTTTTGGCACCAATTGATCACTATGACACTATGACTCGCTTTGCATGGTTTCTTGCAAAAAACAATAAGGTACAGTACTATTAGCAGAGCAATCCACAGCACGTCCGGCCTTGTACCCCACCTTCCGGGCTTTGTCCGGACGGGTGGGGCGGCTACAGCGGTGCACGGCAGGCAACCTTCGGTGCGTTGAAAGACCCATGCCGTTCCGACCAATCTACTGTAAATCACTGGCAAGAAGTTGTAGTTGCACATCATGTGAAATGCTGTTGTGTACGATGCAACAGTTCGTCAGTGAATGAAAACTGTTTCCACTCACTTTGTTTTGACACAAATATACTTAGGCGCTACTTTCAATTGCGCCAATTGAATTCAAGAATTCAAGAGTTATCCTCACCTTTTTGAATGAATGCAGCTGCGCACACACAACATGATGAAGTTTTTCAAACCCTGCTAGCGTATGAAACGCGAAAACCCTTCAGTCGTGGCACTGGCGAAACTCCCAGTTGCGCATGCGTGCCAGAAAGCGCATCACGTCCTTGGTCAGGACGTGAGTTGATTGATTGTAATTACTCGTGGATTCAGGATCATGCAAGCAGAAACGAGTCTGGAAAAAAAGCCTGCTGACCTTTCGAACCATTTTGGAAAATATATCTACTGTATGGCCTATCACTTGTCCTGCATGAACCTACAGTACCGAATAGGAAAGCGCGTCATTGTTTTGCTGGAGACCGCACGTGTTTCTTCGTCACCACAAGGTGTCACCGGAAACTGAAGATGTTGAAGCAAAGCGGCGGACTGCTTCTTGCGCCACATCTCCTCAAGGTATTTGTAGGCTCCTTGGCTTGGCAAAGCAAGGAGCCGAAATAATAAGAAAAGCCTCTGAACATGAAACCAAAGGATCAGAAGGAGAAGTGACAGGAATATAATACGTTACTTTGTTGTTTTCTCGCAACAGGGTCTAACCCCTTTGGAACCTGCAGAATTTGATCTCCTGTTGGTGCAAAAACTTCATGCCATCAAGGTGTGTACTTCACACTCATCTCTAGCGCATACATCCGAAGCTCCAAATGGAAAGCCTAAAAACTGATCACTTTGCTTGTGAGAAACACAAATTTAGGTGGTGGTGGTGGTGGTGGTGGTGGTGGTGGTGGTGGTGGT